TAGAACTGCTGTCTTCCGTTTTCCTCATGTTTCGAAAGCGAATTACATGTACTGTACTTGAAAAATATACCGAAATATGAAGTCAACTGAATTTTCAGTGCTCAGAAAGATTGACAACGGAAGACTTAATATTGAAAAAAATTGCTGTCACTGCGTGAAGAAATCACTTCCAACCGAAACGAAAAAAAACTTGAACTCGAAAAAAGCTTGGACAAAACTATCCGAAAAAATGAGGAGACTTTCGCCTTTTTTTTTTTCAACGATCAAGCCTCTCTGAAAAACTCACATTCGGAAATTTGTCGGCAAGGATCTCGGCGGAAACGAGGTATGAAGCCCAGACTTGATCCAGAAAATCGCGACAAATGGAATCAGGCACGTTGCTGTGTAAGCAGCTCAGAGAATTGTCAATTCTGGTCAAAGCTCTGTCCAAAAGCAAAGAACCCGTCGAGGCCGAGTTTTTGCAGCACTCTTGTAAGCTCACCATCAAACTCTCAACCAACTACGAAAAACACAACCAATTGAATTTATAAAAACCCCTGATAGCAAAAATCACAATAAAAAATAAAAGAAATAATGACATATTTTACGCAGTAGATAGAACTTTCTACGGTAGCCCAAAAAAAAAAGCAAAAAACGCTTCAAGATCAGTTCAAGGCATATTACATTTCCAAAATTTCAAGTTTTCAGCATAAGCTTTGAGAAAAATTTAATTTTAGGCACTTCATCTTGAATATATACCTTATTCACAACGGCACGTCGCAGGCGAGTCAATTTTCCGTCCAGTTGCTCAACACCAGATTCCATCAATAGCGTTAAAGATCTCCTGGTACTCGTCAGCATGTTGCGAAGTTTATCAGGATCTGAGGGAATAGTTTGACCTGATTCTGAACTGGTATCAGAATACGTTTCGTTCGTGTCATAGCCAGACGTTTTGGAATCGTCCTCCACCGACTCGCAAGTCATTGCTCCAGGCATAGATTCGTCTCCCGTAGCAGAAAATGACCCTATTCGTCCTATATGGATTAAATAAATTGAGAAAAACACGAGTGCTTTTACTCAAAAAGAAAATTTCTTTGAAAAAATGCTGAAGACGGTTGATCTTAACTTAATTCTAGTCATGTACAGTAATATGTTCTGAAATGTCCAGGGAACCATAAAAAAAATCACGATATTCGTCAATACTGTACAGTACAAGCAACAGCGAAAATACAGCATATTTCAATTGTGCAGGTTTAAGCAATGGCCCTTCACAGATGGATAGTGAAAAATATACAGTATCGTGAAATCATTTTTTTCATCGAACTCGATGATAATTGTACACTGATTAAGCTGAATAAAAAAAATTTGAAGAACTCTAATAGTAATGGATATTTACCTGTTGGTGAATCGCAAACTGATTTCATGATCTCAGCCATAGCATTCACGATCTTCCTCGTGCTGATGTGAGGATCTTTTCCGGATTTTCTCATCGATGATCCAGGCGATGATGTTAGAAGAGGAGGCGCAAGCATTGTTCCAGAACCTCGGCGAACTTTTCGCATATCTTCGCTCCCTTGAAAAAAGGAAAAAAATTGTGTTATTTAATTGAAGAAATTTTAAGAATACCTTTTTTGCATTCTTATGATATTAATGATATGCGATAATTTACCAAAAGTCACAGAGGAAAATTCCACATGGACGAAAATTAATTTGGAGGGATCTCATGTTTTGAGCGACGAAACAAAATCAGTACCTTTCCGTTGGTTCACTTCAAACGATGTAAAATATTTCAAATAAATAAAACATGCTTAAAATTAACGGACGAATCGAGTTAACTGATAAATTAAGAGAAATATAAATAAAAATATTTTTTATTTGAGTCGTCCGCAGTGAATCAGCGGACAGTTGAATTTAATCTCAAGTAAACTTTTGATGTTGAACCGTATCAGTCAAAGATTTTCCACCTGTCAGATCGTTTGAGCTGACGCTGAAGCCACGAAAGTAACCACTTCCTCCTTCTTTGCCAAATCGATCTGCCAATTGACAACGTATTTCAGGAATTTTTGAAATTCCGTCACCGATTTGAGCATTCGGGACACTATCTCGGCCACGATTGCAGATCCTGGACAGCAAGCGATCGCCATCTAGCCAATCTGGTCCACGTCGGAGAATGAGTTTCACGTACTCAAGGCTGCTTAAAGCCGCACAAAGCTGTAGAAAATATTTCAATTTCATCAAAACGTTAACAATTTTAAGAAATATCTTCACGGGAAAAAAATGGCGAGAAAACTTTTCAAAATATTTTACCTGAGGAGTTATTTCGAAATCATCGCCAGAAGACAGAAAGTTGGACTGCTCCAGGAATCGAGAAACTTCTTCTCCATATTTCTCCCCACATTCAGCAATACACTGTCGAGAAATCGTGTTCCAAAATTAAAAATTCCACGACATAAACGTCCGTTCTGCTTTTTCTCACGCAATCGACTGAGATCTACGAGAGGACAAAATACAAACAGTACTTTCACGCTATCTTGCACGTCGCATTTCATTCTTAGATGACGATTTTTATTTTTTATTTTTTAGATGAGGTTTTTAAGCTCGTGTGAGGCAAAATCGAATAAGATCTTGGCAGAAATGGAGCACGATTTCATAACGTAGTTGGTTTTTCTCTCGTAGATGTCGCTGGAAAACGATTCTTGAGCGGGTCAGCGAAAATTGACATCGCCATGAAATTTATTTGACATACCCGCATTACGTGGCAAGCAATCACGAAGGCGCCTTTTGGGTCGGGCCAATCCAAATTCTTCCAAAATATGACGATCTGCAATCCAAAAGAAAGACTTCTTGTGATAAACAGTGAGACTCCAAAATACGGTCACCCCAAAATGTAGACGATATTCGACTTGGGGACACTTGAAACTTTAAAAAAGCTGACACGACGTCTGGACAATATAAGGACACATTACACAGGGATAATTTTCCCACATTTCTAGTAAAATTTACATTTTTTTCGATATCTCTTGAACAAATTGAGCTACAGCATTTATATTCATAGAAGCTTAAACAAATTTAATTACTGTATATTATAAATTCTCTCAAATTTATCATGAAAAACAGGTACATTCTGTGCTAAAGTATTCTTCATCATGTGTATACAGTATAGCAAGAATTATAATTTTCCTTGCTATTTGAGGTCCTTATGATGCCAGAAGATCAGAATCTGTATGGTTTTCTTCTGCAGAGTTTATATACCGCATCTTTCAGTTATTGAGAAACACATTTATTCGATTTAGGGGGGGGGGGGGTTTCCTAATTTTTGATGAACTAAGAGAACAACTTGAATAAGTTCCCTCTGAAGTATATATGAGAAATGAGATCCGATTTGCGGACGTTCCGACACAGGAACAAGGTCTCAGCACGAATGATACGTCCGCATCGCGGGGTTTCACTCTGAGTGATAAAAAATGTAGTATAGTCTCATTCAAGCACATACATTGTGGAATATCCCGACAGTGTTCGTCGCCGACATGCTGTGGAGGTTGTCCTCAAGTCGAGACCAGGAGTCGAGTTCAATGGCTTTCGCGGTTCTGGCTGACGCTTTCCGGCGAGCGATGCGGATCCAATAATACATGGCTGGCTCGAACCAGTTGTGATAATCCAAGCACCTGCTGTCTTCGCTTCCGTCCGCCTTTGACGCTTGAACCAGGTTCTTCGACCTTTCCTTCTCCCTAAAATTAGTACAGAGACACAAAACCAGTGATTATCTCATTCAATTGGATATCGATCGTCTCAACACCAACTCGAATCATTTTCAGGAATTTATCACGCAATGGAAAATATACCGAAATAACCTTTTTTACGGAAACTGATACCGTTCACGTGTAATTAAAAAAGAACTACGGTAATTAACTTTCAGATATTTTAATTAAGCTGCATCGAAGCTTTTGACGCATGGCATTCATATGAAAAATACGAGTTTTCGGGTGGTCCAAAATATATGCATCCAGTCAAACGCTTAAAGCGTCATTAATTTTCTGACAAAGATTATTCCGGAACATGATCTAAAAAAAACTCCGACGAAAAGAGAAATTCAAAGTTGAAATGTCGCAGAGTATCTGCCAAATTTTTCGAGGATTTAGTCCATTTAAATTTGTTTCGTGATTTTACTCCCTATATAAGTTATAGATCAGTTGATGAGCGCGATTTAATTTTATGCTTTCGTGTAAGCAATGCATTATTACGGTTTAGGTATTTATTGACAATTAAAAACTCGATTAATCTTCACCCCTGATGTCAGTATTGAGTATTTTATTCGTAATTTTTTTAGTTGAAAGAGGATCTGAAATTGACTAACGTCTTGGAATGCTGCATAAATATTTTCGTTAAAATGTACCAGCCACAGTATTTTTCAAGACTCACTTGACGACACGTTGAATTGCCAGGTACAGTTCAAAAGCTTGTGCCCCCAAGACGTAAAATGCGTCTTGTCGTTCAGCATCAGCAGCTGATAAACTATTAGTTGAAGCATTNTTCGTCGCCGACATGCTGTGGAGGTTGTCCTCAAGTCGAGACCAGGAGTCGAGTTCAATGGCTTTCGCGGTTCTGGCTGACGCTTTCCGGCGAGCGATGCGGATCCAATAATACATGGCTGGCTCGAACCAGTTGTGATAATCCAAGCACCTGTCTTCGCTTCCGTCCGCCTTTGACGCTTGAACCAGGTTCTTCGACCTTTCCTTCTCCCTAAAATTAGTACAGAGACACAAAACCGGTGATTATCTCATTCAATTGGATATCGATCGTCTCAACACCAACTCGAATCATTTTCAGAAATTTTTCACGCAATGGAAAATATACCGAAATAACCTTTTTTACGGAAACTGATACCGTTCACGTATAATTACAAAAGAAGTACGGTAACTAACTTTTAGAAATTTTAATTAAGCTGCATCGAAGCTTTTGACGCACGGCATTCATATGAAAAATACGAGTTTTCGGGTGGTCCAAAATATATGCATCCAGTCAAACGCTTAAAGCGTCATTAATTTTCTAACAAAGATTATTCCGGAACATGATCTAAAAAAATTTCCGACGAAAAGAGAAATTCAAAGTTGAAATGTCGCAGAGTATCTGCCAAATCTTTCGAGGATTTAGTCCATTTAAATTTTTTTTCGAGATATTACTCCCTATTTAAGTTTAAAGATCAGTTGATGAGCGCGATTTAATTTTATGCTTTCGTAAGCAATGCATTACTACGGTTTAGGTATTTATTGCCAATTAAAAACTCGATTAATCTTCACCCCTGATGTCAGTATTGAGTTTTTTTATAGTAACTTGGATTCGTAATTTTGTTTAGTTGAAAGAGGATCTGAAATTGACAAACGTCTTGGAATGCGGCATAAATATTTTCGTTAAAATGTACCAGCCACAATATTTTTCAAGACTCACTTGACGACACGTTGAATTGCCAGGTACAGTTCAAAAGCTTGTGCCCCCAAGACGTAAAATGCGTCTTGTCGTTCAGCATCAGCAGCTGATAAACTATTAGTTGAAGCATTTGAAATCACGGAAACGCGGTCCGATTTTTGCTTTCCATTAGACGAAGTACTGCTATTGGTTGTCGTAGTTGACAAAAGTGCAGGATCTTCGGATAATTTACCAAGCTCTTCGCAACATCTCTTCACCATCGGCTTCACGTCATTAATAATCTGATGGGATCAATAATTGGGAAATTATCATACAGCATGAGAAAAACATTTGAGAGCATTGCAATTGCCTACCTTGGATTCGAAATCCTTGAACGCGATGGACAAGTAATCGACACCCACGTTGCTGAAAAATTTTCAAATTTCATGAGTGCATTGAAAAGAAGAAGAAAAAACAGTTAATTTTGAAACTTACTCGTAGAAAACCCATTGGAATAAAGACCGGCCATCGTAAAGATCTTGAGCGATATTCTCCACAACTTCAATGTAAACTTTGACGTCGTGGTCACCATCGTCTTGACTGCTCGAGTTGTTGGATTCCGCCATAGCCACAATGTGCTGGTACCTTCCCGGCGGAAAAAAATTGCATTTTCTGATTTACAATCCGGAATTTTAAAATTATTTCATTTGATAAATACCAGTGATGATTCCCCCTGGACAACGCATGTGCCACTTCTTCCGATTCCCCGTAGCTCGAACCTCCGAGGCCCCAGAGTTTCAGCAGCTCGCCGACGACCTTCAAGGTCCTGAAAAAATATTCAATGAAAGAGACTATTTTTAATAACAGCCATGAATAGTTTTCATTCAATAAATACGAATTTAAAAAGCTCAGATTCTTGAGCAAACCCCAAAATGCAGTTGAACCTTCATAAGTCGAACCTATTTACGTCATATTTTTTTCATGGACCCGTCTGAACTCCCTGATGAACAATGTATTAAAATCCTCTCTTGCTCAAAGGCTTCTCTTCTCAAACCTCAAAAACTCGAATTTTCTGAGGCCTTTTGGCTATGATTTTCTTTACACAGGAATACAGAGAAAAGCAATGAAAAAGTAACTTGATGCGTTTTGAAAGGAAGTGAAAGAATAATCGGGTTAATGAACCCTTGCCTCCAATTTCAGCATCCTTTAAACTCACTTAAGAGGTAATTTAAGGCCCAGAATATCACCATCTACATTTTCCTGCAATTCTTCTACGTTTGCCACGAAAAAATGCTTGTTTCCCTAAACTCAAATAATCCCCAGGTCAAATTTATTTCGCTGGTCCATTTAAATTCGATTTAGAGAGGTAGGAAAAAGCAGTAAAAACTCACTTCAACAAAACGTCGACAGTGTGAGCGCCAGTGACGTGTTTCCTGGCAATGAGGAACCGATGTCCACTAACATCTCGCAGCAAATTGGACCAGCAGTCCATCAACGTCCCACACATTGCCGATCGCTGCATACATTCCAAGAAATATACACAACATTTCGAGACAAAAATGGAAATTTCTTTCCATTTGAAAAAAAAAATATTGTATATATATTTTCAAGTATAAATACCTCCGCAGTTCCGAGGCATTCAGCGTCATCAGGTGCCGGCAAGCGGATGAGACGCTTGCGCAGAACCACGTAGTCGAGACGCTTGCCTTCTTTGAAAGTTTGCCAGGCTGCTAACCATGAAGCAACTACCTTCTGTTCCTCTGTCACATCCCAGTAACCGAGGTAACAATTCAGCAAGTTTGTTGACTCCTCGCTCAGATCACCTTTCCAAGACTGCTGCGTTTCTCGCTGCAATTCCAGGCTTGTATTGAATTACTTTTGATATTTATTTCAAGTCGAGAGGAATGACAGGGGAGTAGTAGCAGGAGGATTTTTGAACAGAAACATTTTATGTCCTTGTTGGCGTAAGCTCGAGTTTTTTTTTTCAATCTGTTATGTATAACTGGTTTATTTTTACTACAGTATTAAGTTTTTACGAATACGCGCGGATGTGGAACATCAAAGCTGAATTTCTGCTAATATTGGAATTACGCTATCCTTATTTTCGATGCATTAACGAAGAACGAGTCAAACATTTTGTTGAAAAATATAGAATAAACCTGAAATACTTCTTGTGTCAAAACTGGAATATGACAGACAACCCATGCTGAAAGCCATTTCATTCACCACGTAAAAATAAAACGGTAACTTTTTTCGAGGAATTCCATATTTTTCAATGTTTTTTTAGTTCAAAATTGTGAAATTGAAACCAGGAAAGGTGCACTAATTTGAAAGACGATTTAATTGAATTCATTTTTCTTTCTTTCCATGTGATAGCTTCAATCATTCAACTGCACCGCTGTCAACTACAAACAACCAACAGCAGTGTCCTACTTCGTCCAAAGAAAACTATAAATTGAATAGTTCCTTTTATTTTAGCGCATTGATGCTTTAAATCAGCTTCTTTTTTCCTTTGGTCAACGCAGTGCTTTGTCAATTTCGAAAAAGTAATGCATGGTTGACATGGTTCAGGTAATTTCTGAAATACAAATGCAGTATTCGTATATTGAATATGAAAGAGGTCAGGTGAATCGGCTTTTTGATCATTCAACCCTTACAAGTGGAGCAACTTAATGCGTTATGATTTATGAATGCCTCACACGTTTTTTAAATATTTATTTTGTATGCCTTTGTCATTATTCGTTGCGTTCGAATCAACATTCAGATTATCATTTAAGATTTTTAATTATCGATATTGTGGAACATTAACCGGAATGATACATTTTTCTGTGGAAGAACTCACCTCTGCTTTTTCGACCTCATACTGAACGATGGCTTTGAAAAATAAACGGAGTGTTGAAGGAGCCAAAGGAGTCTGATGAATGCCAGAGCAGTTCAGTGTTAATCTCAGTTCTCCCTTCTTCGCCATTTGCTTCTGTTTCCCGTCGAAACTGATTTTCGACTTCCTCTCGACAGAAAACCAATCAGCAGTTTGACCAGCGGGTATCTCCTGATAATGATTTGAAAAAATACAACGAATTTTATTTTCTCTGAATCTTTCTCGTGTGAAAATGCAATCTTTCTTTTCGTGTCTGAAGCTTGACAATTCAAAACGCTGAAAAAGAGAAAGGTGGAATTCCGTCGACTTCGATCGAATAAATTAGCTATAAACGGACTAATAAAAACAATGGCTTCTTCCTTCAGGCATTCGCACGAATCGGACGGCTTGAAATTACTGTAACTGGCTAAATTATTCAGGGGAAAAAAAACTTACGCTGAGTTTGATGTTCACTTTCCCAAGCAAAGATTGAGATGAATGTCCGTTAGTTTGTTGCGTCGGTGATATTGACTGTGCAATATTTCTCATCAGACGGAAAGCCCCTTTCACACCCTTCACTTGCTCAATTTGCTTCATTTGCTCTTTCAAGTGCATGTCTTCAGGATGATCCCTAGACATTTAAACAAGAAAAAGTAAAAAATAAATCAGGTTATTCAAACAAACAAAAAAAACATGAAAATCCATCCGTCACTCACCGGACAGAAATTTGAAGAAAATCTGAGCAGGGATTCACCGTATCTCTGGAAGAGAAAAATGGACGCAATGAAACATTAAAAACGCTTCAAATTAAATTCACGCGACATGACTTACATCTCAAAAACTTCATCCCATTGCGGGTCGAGGGTTTTTTCTTTTACCGATGTCCAGAATTTAACTGGCGAATTATTGTTGGAGTCGGATAACACTGTCAACTCGCAATAAGGATTGCTAGTCCCTGTTATGAAAAAAAAAACCACAGCACTTGTGATAAAATGTTCTGTTTAAAGAAGCAAATTTCGAATACCTGAACGTAAACTGGAGAAATAACGCGCATAAATCGGTATTTTGCGTTTAATCTAAATTTTAATTTTCAGTTCCTCGCTATAGAATCAGTCACAGGAAGATTTTGACAGCTGACTGAACGTCGTACTTGAAACTTGATTTTGAAGGACTTGGAAATTACTCAATATTACGGATATTTCAATTTTGTGAACAACTGGAACTGTTATTAAAGATATAATTAAATAATAAAATTTTGTAATACATATAAGTATATATAAGATATAATTGAATAAGAAAAATAGTTTCATAGATATAAATACATATAAGATATATTTATATAATAAAAAAAATTCAGAAATGTTCAGAAATGTTATTTAAGATATAATTAAATAATAATAAACTTTCAGAAATGTTCTCACCATCGGGATGATTTTCCTTGAGCTTTCTGCCCTCGTGAACCACCACCGACATCTTCCAGTGAGGAGCCTGAGTGAAAGAATAGTTCTTGGTTATTAATATTCACGTCAACTTTTAAAGACAACATTTCCAACTTCACGCAAAAAAAAAAAGAATGAATATGGCCCTCACAGGCAGCTTTTGAATCCATTCGATCCGGGTGCGATCATCAGTCAAATGAAACACTTCTTTCGAGTGCTGCACGAGTCGACTTCGTCCCGCATCTTTCAGCGCTGGTGCATTCAGCAACACGTAAATAACGTCTTCGCCAAGAGCAATCAACTCCTCCTGCAGGATCCCATCATTGCAAAAAAAGTTTATGAAAGGATCGTAAGCCCAGTATTCTAGGAGAAGTAGAGGCTTGTGTGGGTGCTCAGGGCAAAATGGGAACATAGCTCGGCGAAGGCGCAACAATTAAAGGAAGGGTGAGGGAAAAAAAACTAATAGAAATTATGTGCCTTGAACCTCGGATCAATATACTGTATTACAATGTTCCTCAACCTTTTTTGGGCCCGTGGACCGGCAAATTTCAAGAACATTTTTTCATACTCAAAAAAGGTTTGCTTGAGAGACTTATTCATAGCAGGTATTTAAAAAGTTTCTGTTTTTTTTGTGGAAAAAATTAAGTTAAGAACCAATGAAGCCGCTTAAGTGAATTGTCTCCAAAGAATTGGAAAAGTGGGCTTGAAGAAAGGTTTCACAGATTGAAATTTTTAAATAAAGCATTTCAGCAGGTGAAAATTTGTCTGAGGTTTAATTAGGAGAAAAGTCAACTTGCATTTTTCATCAGATAATATCAGCTGCTATATTGTCTTTAAGAAATTTCAGATAAAGATAACAGAATTCATTGCTACTTTTAATAAATGTATCATGCTAAAGAAAATTTCCCTCGGACCAAAAAAAAACAAAACTGAAGTGGATCGGTGCCCGTCCGCGGACCTCGGGTTCGGGAAAACTGCTCTAACAAACTATGATTTGGCGTAAGAACCATATCAAAGATATATATATTTTGTTCACTTACAGATTCTTTGTCGACGTTTTCAAATCCCTTTGAGAAATCTGGCGAGAAAACTGAAGAGGTTGAAGCATCGGGAACAGGGTCAGGTTCGATGTCCTCAACGCACATGTCGCCATCAATGGGATTTGCGGTCCTCTCCTGAGTCTTTTTCACCGACTGATACCGTTTCACAGCCACGTCCTTGTCGAGGGTTCCAAACTTTTCGAAGAAGCTTCCATCTGATGCTTTTATCCTTTTAAAATAAAAATAAAAACATTTAAAATATATGTGCTGTTTAATTGACGCGGAAATATTTTTTTACCAGGGCGCATACTGTAGTACCAGTTCATTTTAGCGGAAAGAAACTCAAGTGCACAGTTTATATATATTTTTTAAACTGGAAGCCTTTCAAAGCGAACAGCTTCTTATTGGTGTCACAGATAGACGCCAGAAAGTTGGAAGTTATGTTTTTGAGCAAATTTTTGAAGAAAAAACTCAGTACCACTTAAAAATGCAGCATTATTCAAGAATATACTCAGCAGCATCACAGCATTGACATATTTTTGCTGAGAGAAAATATTCCACAGAAAATCCGCTTCCTAATGATAAGATCTTTTTTGTGTCCGTCTGTTCATGTACTACAGACTCTCTTTCAACAATAATGAAATGATACGTTCCGACGATTTTAAGAACCTTTTTGTCCCTTTTTCAGGATTCAATCGGTGCTGAAATACAGTATTTAAATCGATCATGGATAAGTCCAACTACAGCAGAACCGTTTTACAACTCCTTCAGTAAGTTCAAGATATTTTAGTCACCACATGATTATGCTTTAAAATATCCTTGTCAAGCACTGCGAAAAATCCACGGAATTCATCGACCACAGGTATAAAGGGACCAGTATACTGAAATAATTTTGCTGGCAAGAAGAACTTCCGCATGACAGTTATGTGAAATGATTTTTTTGTACGTTATGATTTGTTCAAGTGGACAGATGGTATTCAAGTACAGTACAGTACTAGATCCAATTTTTCAACAAACACGAAACAGATTCCTTCATATTTTCCTGAACAAGTTTCTGCCGAAAAACCTAGACTTTCCGATCGCAAAAAAATGCTTCCTAAAAATGCGCGGGATTTCGTTGAACATTCACCTGAGAAAGCCGTTTGAATGGCTAATCTCCTGTTCTAATATATTTTGGCATAGCCTCAATAGCTTTTTTTTTATCCGCAGGACATTTCCGTGGTGAATTAATTCCTCACCGAGCTCTCGTAGGAAGTAAAAAGTTGAAATTTTGCCCAGCTGCACCCAAACTTGCGAATCGTTTGTGAACATTGAGTACAGATCGAGAGCTTTTATTCCAGCGACGTGAAGAACGTCTTGCAAAGTCTCCCACCGGAAACCAGCTTTTCTTCGATTCGGTCATAATTTGTATCTCATCAATCACACAAACCACAGCCACTTCATCAGCAGACACATTGCAATCAATGAATCAATCAGTCCCTCGACTATCAGAATAATCATCTGTGAACTTCCTGTTTTACTCGTGCGATACTTGAAAATTAATTTGACTTGAAAGATTTTCTTGAGACTTCTCCATTCCCAGGCAAGTTTTTTGGGCTTTTATTCACTTTATCGAGTGGATCAGTTTATTTTATTCAGGAAGGAAGGATCCTTTGTGATTATCATCTCAGTTTTTTTGTATTTTGATGTCATTCATATTTTTGAATCGAAACTTCCTAAATCCGCTTCGAATTCTGCGGGTTTGATGAGAGCCATTTGTAGTTTAGTTTGCTACTCGATAAATCCGGAAAACCTCAAGAGAATCCGTCGACCGCAATAATGAGAAATTTTAAAGAAATTGAACCCATTGCCCGGATAAGCCGAACTAGCTCCAATTTTCGCGTCAGTTTTGATAAAACACATCTCAGCAGAATCATCATTCGGTTAAAACAAACTCTTTGGGTCCCGGATGGATTTAAATATTAAAAAAAAAGCAGAGCTACGATTCAAACACTATCTTATCACTTCCCCACATCATTCCGGCAACGAAAGGGGGAGAACCACGTATGCATGTACCCGGGTGCCAACTGAACCCGACGTCGCAACGAAAAAACGTTTAAAAGGAGGCGACGACTCAGCATAAACAGAGCAAGCGGGGGAACGAAGGATCTCTTCTTTCCCGTCGACGGTGGTGTCGATGCTTTTGCTGCACATAGAGGCGCTTTATAATCCGTGTCGACGACGACGACGACGACGACGACGTCACGGGGGAATCTTAGTCCTTCGCATTTTACGCTTATGTAGCTCGTTGTTTTGCATTCGGAGAACACTATAAAGTTGATATGCGAGGAAAATTTGCGGGAACATATTTCATCTTTATTGTTGCTCAAGAAAATGTGGCTAGAAAAGTGCAACGACGACGTCTTTCAAAGCGGAAACTTCGAAAAAATTGTGTTGATGAAAACTGCGGGATTATTCCTCTATAATGCGATAGAGTGTGTATTTTTTTTTATCACTCTCTCCTTAGATAAATCAATATCGGGAAAAACAAACCAAAACTTATAACTTGCGCAAGAAAAGTTACATTTCTTTTACTTCGCCAGCATGGAAAACAAACTGTGTGATAAGATTTGAAAAAATTCTCGGAAACCCTTCAACATTGTCCTTACCAGCAGTAAAAAAAAAACAACGTTTTTGTCAGGCTCGATGCGAAACAGTCAAAGACACTCAAACCTAAGACAACCCTTCAGGAACTTCATCAAACACTGTCGGAAATCAGAGGACGAATTTCCATCTTAGTTTTTATTTTCTATGCTACTCATTACAACTAGAACAGAAAATTTGATATTCATTCGGAAAAATAATACTGTACAATGTTTTTAACGTGGAGCTTGACAAAATAAGCACACAGATTGTGTTCTAAAACGTTCTGTATACTATGCAATTTGTCAAGACTTGAATGATGACGTTTCGGAAGAGAAATCAATCAAGAAATAATGCGTCAGACATTCATCAGAGATAAAATTAAACAGTTTCAAACGTATTTGGGTGCAATAACCTCCATGTACAGTGTAAGTAACTAGACTATCCAGGGATACTGTACATTCTAATGTGCATACGGGTAGAAAGCCTTCTTCTGCAAAAAAAATATCTATGAAATGATTAGCTCGGATGAATATATGTTATGCTAAACACATTATTTTGTTAAATCGATCGAAACGCCATCCAATTTTTGTTTAACAAGAAAGAGTGATGAATTTCTTCCGAATTTCACGGCAAACAAAAGTTTGATGTCAATGGTTAATCCTGTGACGCTTTCATCAAGCAAGTATATTTTCAAGAAATAGCATAACTATATGGATGTTTTTCTCAATTTCTCAAAAAATCTGATACGAATTGCGTGCTTCACAGTAATCTTGAACATGGCCCGTTTTTACTGGAGCCATCTCATCATTATTCACAACCTTCTTCCAGACGTCTTCACAAATGTTTTCATCATCAAATACATTTATGATTCGGAGCAACAACAAAAAATCATAACTCTGGATTATACCATAGCAACGGAACTAATTAGCGTAATTCTTTCGCCACGCCTCGGTCTCGCAGAACGATCTTACTCTGATTCCAGCAGCGACACACGCGCTCCACACAGATTTTTATAACCTCGAAAAAGTATAAAAATAAAAACTGGGAACCATGCGTAAACCATGGCAAGCGGATATCCGCTCAGAGAAGACATTCATAATGCCAGACATGCCTTAATTTTTATTTTTATTTTCGTCTGTGCATATCAACTAGCTCCTTGGTGAAAGAAGAAATTCTTCAGCAGCTGAGCATTTCGAGAAGCACCCAATAATAGAGTGCAGAGCGATAATAAATTACAGCACCGATTTGTCGCTCTTAAATACAGTACATGCTTAAATGCGTACACACTAGAGTATCGTTAGTTCTGAAAACAGGAAACCGAAATTATAATCTTAGAGAGTACAAGCACTTGAGAAAATGAACTTTCACGCGATTGCCAAAAGTACTGTAATGTAATCTCAAGGCGTATAATACCGCCTTCCATTTCTCACGCCCATTTTGACGATTTATCAGGGCAGCAAATCTTTAGCTAATATGATTCATGAATTAGGAATTAACTTGATTTATGAATATGTATTTAATTCTAGAAACTAATCTGAATATCCATTACAAATCACTTCAGGTATATAAAAAGCATTCAACTAATGGCATGTGCTGGAAGAAAAATCCGAGATTTCAAAAGAATGTTTTGAATTTTTTTTACTGTATTTATGATACTGGTACTAGACAATAAAACGCACTTCAGGAAGCAGCAAATAATGGTTTAGCACCAATGCTCAGTAATGTTTTGCCACGAAGGTCAGTGGTTTCCAGCTGGGTAACCGCGAAAGTTGGAGTACAGTCAAAGACACGCAACCCTGCCAATTTAATGAAGGCCAGAACACGTACAGTGGAAACAATTCACGTGGCTGCGGAAGTGTGAAGAATGATTTCAAATCTCTCGGAATTGCTGAAAATAGCACCTCGACTAAATGTATCCAAAAGCAATGAATAATATGGGGTGCATCAATTTTACATGAAACTTAGCCCGAGACGACAATTTGAAAGACAATGAATGGAACCGAAAAATTCAGGTTGCAGAAAAATAAAAGAGGTATTCCAATGTTGCCATGCTTTAGCTCCAAGTAGAGTAAACATTTATGAAATGTTTCATAAAAAAAAAATTACCTGATAACAAGGTAACAAAGTATTACAGTATTAGTGCGTGTCATTAGTTCACTACTGCATATAAACGTCATTTCATAACTTGTTTACTCAATTTTTCCGGTTGAAAGACCTTTCGAGTTCATTTTTAGGCATCGAACATCAACAGAAATGTTTATAAAACATCATTTTAAGTCGTAAATTTGAGGTTAACGTTTCATCGGCGGTTGAACCTTATATTCTCCATTCGTTCTTCTCTAAATTTAATTTTTACATCTATTTGATTAGCATTACTCATATGTATGACATTTGATAAGAGGATGTGTCTGAAAACTCTGAACTGTACGTGATTAGTCGTTATTCGCCAATAGGAAACCAGATATGGGGAAATTCAAAGTCGTGTGCGATTCTATTATTGCAAAAATATTAGTTCAAAACTCTATTTTCAAAGACATTGGCAAAATAAAGAAATAAAAGCTACTCGGAATTCGTAAAGCGTGTTCTTTATCTTCTATATCAGCTCAGGTCAAAATTTGTGACGGAAAATTAAATGCCAAGATTTTGAAGAGGTGTCAAAAATAGAATCATTTCTTTCATCCAAATTCGCATAGCTACTGTGAATCAACAATGACTAAAGATTGGTTTATTGCTTCTCTATTCAATTCTTCAATTTATAAACAATATAAAGTTCATCCTTGAGAACTATTTTTTCGATTTATAAAAATTCTAAATTTTGAAGAGACCTCAGTTGAAAAATTCATTTATTTTATGCTAACATTATGAGCATTGCCACTGCGTGTCTCAAATGTATCGTATAAACATCCGTTCATTATTTGTTTACTCCATTCTTCCGCACAAAAGCCACCTTGAGCAGTCATCCTTCAAGTCTCCAGAAAAATTCTGGAGTTATATTTTCCAGTTTGACTTCAAGTTTGACTCAACGCTCGTTTCTGCCAACACTCACAAGTTGGTCCTCGTGTTGTGAGTGACATAAATGACGTTCGGCAGGAAACCGAAGCATGCTCCTTGTCGTCGCCGAGACTGCTGATCATTGATCGCAATTCTTTTCCGACGTTGAGCATTCCGCAATCGCCTGAGGGGGAAGCAACTGAACACGCAAACACTGAAGCAACACTCGTTGAAGACGATGTGACGAGAAGTGTCGAAAGCGCCGCTGACGGTCAAGGAGTCCTCAAACGAGGATTCCAACCACGTCGACGTCATTTCATCTGGCACACAATTAGTTTGCATTCATCACTTGCTGGTTCAGAGGTCATCAACAACACCTTTCGGCCATTCCTTCGAAAAGAGATTCATGCTTCCAGAATATTTTCGACGTCATTATTAGGGAGAGAGCATACAATTATCAAATCACCCAATGAAAGATTTTTGTTTCGATCGAATTATCAAGCACTGCGTATCATTCCTATTGCTCTTTAAGGTTCTCAGCTTTTTTCTCTAACTAGGGGAGCACTCAACTCAATCAATTACCAAGAAAAACCTCTTCAAGTGAATTATTTCGGGGGATTTTGCAATGAAATGCGGGCTTCGTGGGTCTATCTGGCCTCTTTATGCTGAGACAAATTCTGAAGAGTTTTACATCCTCCTCTATACAGAAAAATCCATGAATTCTGTATTATTTCTCCTCCATTTCATTCATTTTATTCTATGACAGCCTCGAAGTCACCATTCATTAACCCAGAGGGTGTCAGGCCGATTAATGACAAAGAATTAGAGAAAAGGAATGAACACAGTCGGTCAGCCTTTAACGGCCAGATCCTCTTTAGTAGAGTCCCTTTAGAATTCAGCAGTTTTATCCAGACACACACAAAACCACAGAAGGATAAGAAGAACCCAGAGGTACAGACAATTGCGCTAGGACGTAATTAGGCTTAGCCGCAGTCAGGCACACACAAGCTCTCAGGAGTGAATCTTTGGTCTTAATGAATTCCCGAAGTCCCGAAGACTTCGGTGCCGGCTTCCTCTGCCGGAGATTGCTTATCTCTTGCTCTTGACCCAGTTTACCGCAATGCGGCAAACCGGGTGCCCTATCCGCTTCCGGGTCTGTGCGCTGGTGTTGCTGCGCGGTGTGCCCAAGCAAGGATGCCACGCTTGGGTCACGCTGCGTGTATGCGACCCCACAGACGGAACCTCAAGGAAGGAATTTTGGTATTACAGTACATGAATTAATTTACATTCCATTCGAAAATCATTTTTTCTTTCAATTTTGAGAACAGGCGCCTTGATGAGAATGTCATGAAGGTTTCATTGAGTAATTTCGTGTATATTAAAAATTCCTCAATTTTTCAATGGGTAATATTCTAAGGTAGGAGTCTTTTGGTCGAGGCATTATATTCGCATTCGTGATTATTCTCTACACTATTGGGTGCTTTTCAGCTGTTTTTTTTATAATGGATGATCTGAATCTGAATGTTTTAATCTCGGTGCTTTCCTCGTCATATGCAAAACTTCAAAATTTTTGCATTTCCTTGAAACTTGAACAATTAAAAAATTTACTGTAGTTTGCATCGACCTTAAGCAACAAATTTTCTTTACCAGGCGGTTCATTGTAAGGCAATAGATTCAATGAAGTCGAACCTCGATAAATCGAACCTCCGTAAGTCTATTAGCTCCCCATTTATAATTTTTTTAACGTCTGTTGGGGAAACGCCACGCGAAATCTAGGTATCATATAAAAAACCGCGCCGCACGCCGAACACTAGGAAAACCAATACATAAAAAACCGCGCAAAAATCTTGATAAGAGTTCCAACCCTCAAAGGGAAGGAACTCACCAAAAACCAGAAACCGATTTCCGTTTTTCCGATTTCACGGAGAACTAAAAACCTAACTTGCATTCGAACTTTTGAACAGTGCACATTGTTGTGAAAACCGCGAAATTTACAAATATTGTCTGAGTTCTGTTGAGTGTTGTAATTCTTCAAAAATTATTTGTGTGTTGTTCTTGTGGGACAAATCGAAATAAAATTCTAACTTAAATTAGGGAAACCGAAAGGTTCCCCGGCCTCGTCCCAGGCTGATTCTGTCTTTTATTTTAACAAAAATTAGAAACTTCACTTTACAAATTTGATCCATTTGTAAAACTAAACAAATTTATGTTGAGGTAAGTTACTCCCCAACAACGTCCCTGTCCGAATTTTGTTAGAATAAGTAAATTTAAAACCTTCCTAAATTCAAGGTTTTCCTTTTTAAACCCTCACTTCTCGAATTCTCGCGAGGACTTTCAACAACTATTTTATTGACACAGGAAGGAGAAAATCAATAAAACTGTAACTTTATGTGTTTGGGAAGGAAGTGAAAGACTAATTGGGAAAATGAACCTTTGCCTCCAAGTTCAGCATCCTGTCACCTCATTAAGGAAGAAATTTAAGGTCTAGATTCTAGACCTTGGCTATTCATCCGAAATTGCAATTAGTGATATTCTAGACTCTAGAATATCATTAATTGCACTTTAGTATGAATAGTCTTTCTTTCCCTCAACAAAAAAGTAAAAAAAAAAATATATTTTTTCCCTACCTCGATTTTCCTGCTTTTCCCTTGAAATTCTACTTCTAGAGGTTCGACTGTACACCGCTATTATATACAGTTGAGCATTTAAAAAAAAAAATTGGGCTCACTCCACTCCACGGGAATGAATTCAATGCACAAAAGACACTTCCAGGAATTCCAGAAGGACTGGGTTCACTTTTCCTCGAACTGCTGGGGCTGCGATACCTGCGACTCTTTTCCCCGCGCACGCACTTCCGGCAACCGGGGGAAATACAACACTGAACACTGGAGGGCATATCCTGTGGCACCCTTCTCTGTTCCCCCGCCGTCAGGACGACCCCACCCACTGGGTTTAAAGCCCCTCTTTCCACTAGCTGTTTTTTTTTTATTTTACAAAGGGGGAAATGAAAAGGACGGCAAAGTCATGAACCAGCTTCAAAACAACAGAGTTCAGTAGGAAGTTCTGGCTGCGAGCAGATTCGTCTCGGTTTTGGCAGTTGAGAACTAATGCAGTGGTGCTTCCGGCCAAAAATCTAATTTATTCAACCACTGCATGGGTCGATGATCGGTATTCAGGTACCGCTTTGCCTTACATTTTTTTCGTGAAAGATTTCATTTGTGAAGTTTGAGAAAGAATGCATGTGAAGTGGGGCCTCTTTCAATGAACATACAGTACTTTCCTTGTGGTTTAAAAAATGTCTTTGACGCATTTTTTTCCGCACTAATCGATCGTGTTAGGAGGGTGCTGGAGTCTTTGAAAAAACTGGCAATGGCAAAAGGTTTTCTATTCAAATCCAAATTTTTTCAAGGACACATCTTCCCTACAATTCAATTAACTATTCTTCGTACAGAGGAAGAAAAGTTTTGTTAAAATTTAATTTGTGAGCTGCTTTCATTCATATATATGAATGGGGTCAATCGGGTAAGTTGAAATTCATGAATTGCATGAACCGGCTGCCTGGCTTTCAATTTTAATCACTTCGCATTTTTATTCATGCTCTAAAAAATACTGTAGTCATATAGAGTGAGCTATTTTTTGGGAGGAAATGCGGTTCAATAAGATCCGTTTTTTCGCATGAGACACGTCTGTAATGTTTCTCCATCAAAATTTTTCCGATAACTACTCTATTCACTTTTCTGTCACAAAAACATTTTCCAAAGATAATAAAGCAGAAACAGGAAAAAAAACATGCGCGCGCCTTACAAAACTACAGATTATTGCAATCGAAGTTCAAGGAACGCTTTTCGTGTGTTCGTCGATTGTGAAACATATTTTGGCAATCAACGCAATTTAACTTTCGTCTGTGTCATGAGAACTTTGTTCGCTAATAATTCGACAAGAAAAAAAAATCCGCGCATTACAAGAACACGAAATGCGACGAAAGGATTATTTCCCGAATTTTCTTCGTTGAGACACTATTCCGCGGCCAACACGTATTTCGATGGTGTGCGGAAATATACTATATTGGAGGGAATCGCATCACCAACTAGTCTGCATTGGTCCCCTCCGCGATGAGAGACGAGACAAATGCTGATAGAAGGCACTGACTCTGGTTGAAACTAACCAGAAGTCAAGTTTTTATTTAGTTTGTCACGTGTTGAACACTGCAGTTTCAGACTATAGTCACTTTCCGACGTTTTATCTTATTGCCGTATGCGTTGAGGGTTGTTTAGTCACCCTCAGCACCCGCGAGCACAGGACGACAACAAGGGCGTTGGACTCGCGTCTGAAAAGCCTGCTGCAACCAGCAGCAGCAGGTGATTCAACGGGACCGACCGCGTGGTTGGCGTTCGGACCACGGCGGGCGAGGAATCATGCTAGTGAGTGACTTCACCCGAGAAATTCCCGGTGCAATGTTTGGGCTTTAAAAATGAAGTCCGTTTGCCCCATATCACGCGCATCGGTATGATTTTCATTGTGTAACGAAATTAAGAACCGTTGAATATCGTTAAAATTTAATATCTTAATTAACGGCTTAATGCTCACGACGAATTTACTTTCTCGGTCCCTGTGCAAGAGCCACAATAATGCTGTTTAAATTTCGCTTCAACGAATTTTCATTCCCATCGAGGCTTTTTTATTTTATTTTTTTAAGCGTCGAACACTTAGTTTTAAAGAGATTCCATTATGCAGTATTCACTTGTTCGTGGATGAAGATGACATTTATCAGCTTCCCTGCGTAATATTAAAATTGTATGTCCCGAAAAGCTTGGCTTTGTTTGTTTTGTTGTTTTTTTCTTCGCTGAGAGCTCGTTTTCAAACAGTAAAATTTGGGTTAAGCACCATTGCATTTAAAAAGCCGCACCCATATTTTAGAGGTATTGTAATTCAAAAGTATGGGGGAACGGGATACGCCTCAAAATGTTTCGGAGAAATTGCGGCTCACTCGTCAAAATGAAAACTGTGAAAATTATTCAGAAAAAATATTTTGAGAATGAGATGAATTGTTGTTCACCAAGGATTTAAAACTTACGGGCAAGCAGAATATGATTTGCATTTTCTTCGTGGCTTTTGAGACACAGTGACACATCATTTCGGTTGTTTAGCTATTATAACGAGTACAGTATATGCCGCAGAAAAGTCTTTTATACTTGAAAAATCTTCAGTTTCTCGGAATAAAAAAATTACATACAAATTGCATAAGGCACTGGAATCTTAAGTGCTAAAAAAATGCCAAGGCTTCCCTGAGTAACTGTACTTCAAAATTATCAGTT